ATCTCGTTTTTTTCCATTGCCACAGAATGCATATCTTTATTTCATAATCAGCATAATATTTTTGATTGGCTCGTCGTTACTCATACACATGGTGTTTTTTGCCCGTGAATATATGTGGGTGCCAAAACATTCAAGGGATACATTGTTTTTATCAGCAGTAAGTTCCATTTTGTTGTCGTTAGCATTATTTTGTCATCGTTTTGGTTGTTTTTTTTTCCAGTTGAATCATGGCAAAATCGGCACAAGTGACATTCAATAATTTTTCCGTTCTTTTTGTTTACAGATGCTTGGATACACGTGTGCAATCGAGGCGATGGTGTTATCTGTTATGGGATTCTTTCCATCGCGTCGGTATCGACAAGTACCTGCCGATGAATGTGATTGCATCATTGATGAGGGTCGTGAACTAACACCGATGAGTTCAACACACAAATCGTTGGCCAATTCCAATTCAAATTTCCACATTGCGGCTGATGACATCATCACCGATCGACGTTAAGCCTAAGACTTTGTTTCCAATAAATCCAATATAGAATAACAACACAATAACTTCGAAAAAAAACGAAGAAAAAAACGAGAAACAAAGTCATAGAAAATCTTAGCTTATCATCTTTTTGTTGCAAATAAAAAAAATGATTAGAATTTTTTTTTTTGCGAAAACATAATGTGAGAAATGATGAAAAAGACAACAACAAAGCAAAACAAAGAAACAAACGAAGAAAAATAAACTAAAAAAAATAATTCGATTTTCCAGCTATCAACTTTGACCGTTTAATCATGAAACCGTAGATATCACCAATAGACTAGGGACAGAACTATTTATCAAATACATATTGATTACAATATATTTTTGTACATAATTTAACGAGCTAAGTTAATTTCAGTTAATGGGATATAAGAACAGAAGAAGTGAACACATATAGACAACGTAACTAGTTACACAATTGCATAATCTTTATCGAGTAAGCCAGATATATTCCACATATTTAATCAGATCAAATTAGGATAGATTGAATCTTTGGATTATATATACTCCATATAGATTTTTTTTTAGAATTCCACTTTTAATACATTATATATATATATTAATGATGAAATCGGGAAAAGTCGATGAGAAAATGTTTTCTACTCGCAAATTGCATTTGATATATATGGGAATGCACACATTTATCACGTAGCAAATAATATGGAACAACACCATTGTCCAGCAAATCCAAAAAAAAAAAACAAATTAATTCTAGAATGAAACGCGTCTTGTGTACTGTTTGAATTCAAAATTTTCCGTTTGGTCGTGAGTCGGTGATCAAATTCCAGCAGAAACAAAAAGAAAAACCTAAATAAGAAAAGCAAAACGACGAATAGTGATAGATAAATTGACAATTTTCCAAACAACGCAATAAATGTTATTAATAAATTCTGAATCACTGTCAAAATTCGCAATGATAGACCAACAAAAAACTATTTTCGATACCAGAAAAAAACATATACATGAAAATAAAATTACGATCGACCGTGAAGATGCGTCAACCCGTTTTATTTTTGGCCTCATAAATTTTTCATGAAACATATTTACGTTGGAAAAATATGGAATTCCAACGAGTGCTCCAACTCTTTATGACTTAATTTGCAATATATATATATGATGCGCATACTTGTTTGGTTTCACCATAATATTTTTTATGAAATTCTTTGCGATAAATTCATGTGTCGCAATGGTAAAATATTGGACGAATATAACATTGATTCCATCCCCCCTACTTTTGTTAACTTTTTCCAATTATTATTGTGCAGATCCAAATTCTTAAGCACAATTGAAAATATTGCAATCGTGAATATATGTACAGAACATACCGTTCAAGAACGGTAAACAGAGCTCATAAAATAGAACACTTCGGTAGATTATTTGGCATCGAATTGCAAAACCAAAGAAAATTGGTAATTTTTATTCGTTTTGTTCTTGCATTTGTCCACATTCAAATTTGTGGCGTTGAATTTCTTTTCCAATTTTCCTTCTTTTCGTTTTTATTTTTATTTTTCATTTCCACAATTTCACGTTGTCATTGTACTTGCTAAGATGATTTTTCATATCTATTTTCTTTCTGTTTTCCATTCAATTATGTCTTTCATTCCGCTTATGTCGTTGTGTTGGGTATTTTAATTTTCATTTGCACTTGAACTCCGACTCGTCATTTCATTCTTCTTCGCCTTGCTATCATTACCACTTAGTTCTAAAGGATTTAGCTATTCATTTTGTTGGTCATCATCGTTGTCGCCGCCGTCAACATCATCGTCATACTCCAAATCATTTTCAATATAGTTTTCATCTCCACTTCCATTGTCCATGGCTTGTAGAATGCATGGCATCAAACCGAGCGGTATCATCAATCGGTTCACATCAATAATCTCTTCGTCTCTTTTATTCGAGAGAGAGAGAAGAAATAGAAGTCGAAATAAAAACAAGAATTATGAGTAGCTATGGCGAAAGCGAAAGAGGGAAACGATATTTGTCGACGACATTCAAGACACATTCGATGACAAGTGCTTACTGTGTGTCAAGGTTAAGAACACGAAACGAAGCATTCTCCGGACCTTCACCTTCGATGAACATGGCGGGAGTCAAACCGTCGGTATCTCCTTCCTCTGTATTCGCGGCCAATATTGAATTGATGAAAATCAATTGACCCGGCTCAAGATCGTATTCAATGAACACTTCATCTGTGTCATTCATTTCGCGCTCCGCATCGCCTGCCAACTCAATTTCCATGACATTATTCTCGTCTTGAGGCATTTCATCAAATAATTCGATGTCATCAAACGAATCCAACAATGCAAATTGATTCAAATTAAAACGGCCACACACTAATGGATGACTTAGAACTCTACTTGCAAACGTTAATTGCCCACACGTTGGACACGGAACATCAGCATCTAAATTAAACACCATTTTTTTCGCTGTTCATTTCGAAGTAAATAGAAAATGATTTGATCGATGAATATTTACTTGAATTCTCTTCATTGGCTCCTTCCTCCATTGAACCGGTTGTTATTGGAAATCCCTGTTTTGTTTTTATTCTTATTGTTGTTATTAAATCTAAATTTCTTTGGTATTTTACCCGTAATTTTTTTTCTCTATTCAAACCGCAATCAAAACGAAATAGAAATCTTTGAATCGATTCTAAATTGACTGCTGTAAAATATGTTCTGATTTAAATTTCATCGACGAATTCTCCAGTATACTAGATCAATCATATCAACGCATAAATTAAAATTGTACATTTGATTTTCTCTTTCTTTGAAATCAGTCATGGCTACTTCATAGTAATTTCCTTGATTCCTCTATTGATATTAGTACATACACCGTGTCGTGTTTTGATAATTGAACAGTCATATTGAAGGGAATGACGCGCTCCCTCCAATTGCCTAAGTTTGAAAAGTTTTATTTGAAAAATTGGTGACTGTAAAGGTTTCATTGACAGTTCAATTGCATTTGATATTAATTAATAGCTTCCGTTTGAACGTGGGAAATGAAAACTTTCATCAAACTCTTGAAGTTCCTTATCATTTGGGCGCTTGGTACGGAATAAAGTTATCAATGGTAGTTAAATTTGTTATAAACTTTTCGAAACGCAGAGTGATAGAAATAGAAAAAAAAGGAAGAAAAAAACGAATACAATAATGGATTTTTAAAGAATTTTGACTTTGTACGAAACCAAAATGTATTTATTAAAAAAAGGAAACGAATTCAAACAACAACAACCATCGTTATTGTTTTTATTAAACCCATGGAATAAACAATCACCTCAGCAGTTGAATGACGAACGAAGTGTATAAATAACATAGAAATTTACTTGGCGCGATGTGATCACACAATCGATTTAATCAAATAAATCGATAGACTGGTCCGCGCCAAAATTTAAAAAAAAAACTGTACTCGCCTGGTTGTGCTGGGCGTTTGTTCATCGCTAATGCTTTGTGTTTCACTTTCCGACGAAACCATGCTGGCTGGTGATTGTGGTAATGATTTATTATTTGCAATTCCAGTGCCACTGGCCAGCCCGATTGTGTCAACATTGATGCCACTCATTTTGTTTCGCTTTCGATTCGCAAAAAAAAACCAAACAACAAAATTATTCACTCAGTAAACCGAACAACAAACATCACATCGGACCGACTTGAAATTGCATTCTGCCAAAAAAAATTCCGTTCGATGAAACATTTTTATGGCATCGGCGTGCGGCGCGCAACGGCATGTGTAGCTTTCATTCAAAAAGTATGCAAACAAAACCATACAAAGAGCATGTATCGATCTTACGAGCGCGTTTCACTAAACCACCAATAAGAGCCAATTCGTATGTACTCGCTGCGCTACGTACACAAGAATTGCTCACTATAGCAACCAAAAGTAAATATGGTTGGCACAGTATACATTTTAGTGTGTCTATTTGCACAATGCAGTGCAGCGCATAACGAACACACAACGAACTTGAACTCGATCGCTTCGCTTTCATAACAGAACACACATGCGGACAGGCATACCTTGTTTTAAGTTGCATTTCGACGAACTCACATTTCTACGTACATACATAAAATAACATAATACAAGCTTCAATTCAAACAACCGTTTCCAGTTTGATTTATGCAACAACATTGGGGTTGATACAATATTATAATGACTCATTATTAATGAGAAACAAAAAATTCAGGTTCACCAGTGAAATGCGCTCGAAGTGCTTGAGCAATGCTCAATTCAACTATGGGTTCGAACGGTATGTTTACGTTCCCGCTAATTCTGACCATAATCAGATACACTTGAATCATTCACATTTATTGGAATCGACAGTGAGCTGCACTCTGTGTACTCAATTTGTTTCGATTCGCAAGGACAGCAGAAGCTCTTTTGGCAAATTCGAAAAAAAAATCAATATTCATAGTGCAGAATAAAGGGTGGGGGGGGGGGGGGTGGTTAAAGAAATAAAATAACGATTTCCAAATACTCTGTGTCTTCTTCCAACCGTACTCTCTCTCTCTCTCTCTATGTTTTTTTCGGCTCAATTACAATTTTTACTCTCTGTAATTGTCATTGAACTAATGATATTACACACTATTTGATTAAGAGCAATTTAGCTTAGAACAATTAGAATTATAGCCATGGGTGTCCTCATGTGGCCACATATTTGGATTGGCACACGAATGAAGAAAAACAAATAAGAGAACCAACAAAAGAAGCGCAAACACTTTTTAAATGATTCAGGTCATATATATGTGTGTTTGCCCATTCAATAATTGCGAGAATACAACAAAAGTGAACGATGTGTTGAACACACACAAATAGACACCAGGCTTGTTCAATTGCCTTGAAGTGGCACGTACGACCGTTAACCCTCTAGTTCGCAAGACCGCCAAAAGGCGGGGTGCATAAATTGGGTCATAACTTGAGTACCACATTCTAAATTGATAAAATATAGTGGCATTGCATTGGGCAGGTTCTCAACTTTAAATTGATATATTACTTTATCAGTCTAAGGCATGCTGGTGTCGAGCTATACGCCCTCAAAGTCGAAAAAATGCCAATCCCACCTAAAGGCGGTGTTGCGAAGTAAAGAATTTGTTTCCGTTTTTTTCGGCTAAAACCTAACATATCTATAGTATTCGCAACTCTGGAAAGAAAAAATGGCGGAGTAGAGGGTTAAGCCAAGGCTTGCCGATTAATAACTGACAACACCTGTAATAATCGCATCAAGTCCGTCATCATGCGGACAACCGACAAAAATCATTTGAACTGGGAGATTAGTGTAGATTTCCGAATCCAAAGTCCAACTTCCAACTATCGAAATCGGTTTTATTGTTGTTATGAATGTTTGCCAAAGCAATGAAAATTCAACTAGCCTGACATGATATAATCGATTAAATTTTCAAGATTTAAGTACACGACATACGGTATAGACGGGTATCAATTGAAATGGTTAATTGAATTATTTGCCCGCAGAATACATGTCATTATAGTCTCGACAATGATAGACCCCAACTATTTTTGACTATAAACGAACGGCGCGCGTGAGACAGAGCGAAAGAGGATTTAACAGATTCTAACGTGGTCGCGACACCACATAAATAGTGTGCTTGCACTTGCATTCCAAAAAACACACATCGTTTGCATAGTTGATATATTTATCCGATTTTCATCAATTTCACGTATGAACATATCGAACGCACACGTTTCACCGCGAATGTCTGTGGGTGTGGGTGTGTGTGCATGTGTACAGGCGACAAGGAAAAGAGTGAGAACGATGTTAGCCAAAACCAATGCTTTGATACGATACAAAACGCATGCCAATCGAATCGACAACGAGGATAACGAAGAGGAACAACAACGAAAAAAAAAACAAGAACATACATATAATAACTGACTAGAGAAGAGAAAAAAAAACAACATCAACCACAGTGGTTATTTTTCCATTAGGTTGTATTGGTCATCGGCAATTGTACGACAACACACCACATTGATGAATCCGATTCTCAATAGTCACGCTATATACGAATCTTTCAGCTTTTTGTTGTAAATTATTTATTAAAGCATTAATTATTAAATCGAAAACCGTTAGCATTTGTTCAATACATGCATACAAACCGATAACTGACAGAGAGACAGAGAGAGAGCCTTTGTTCGTAAACTTCTTTTCACATGCATATCAGTCGAATTTTTTGAAAATTCGAAACAACATATACACCAGTTCCATGTGCAAGAGGCACAACGGCGTTCGTTGTCTGCATGGATATCATTACAGTTATAGTTTCTTTTTTTTTGTTTCCTATTTATTTTCATCAAGTCACATTGACGAACAATTGAATCAGAAATCAATTACTAAATTATAATAAGAACAAAAGGCAGATCAAAAAAAAAATATCGATTTCGAACAAGATAAATAGACCTAACATGGTTTGATTTAAATTGTAGTAGAGTATTTGTTGTATTTATTTTTTGAACGAGGTACGAGGGAATTATTCCAACCACTTTTGCTGATTAAATGCAGTGCAATAGAGGAAAAGCTGTTTGCGATCAAATCAGAGCAATGGATTGGTGAAAGATAGAAGAAAAGTGTGCAACGGCAATTCAAAAATTTCAAATTCAATGCACCTACCTGCATTCTTCGTTTGTGTCTTTTGATCAGAAAAAACAGTTTAAATTTTGTAAGTTGTTGCCAATTGTTTTCTGTTTGTTATAGTTGCCATCCAAAATGGATGAAGGAAGCAAAGCTGATCGGAAAAGCTTTAATGATCAAAGTGTGGACAATCGATTGACGAATGAACACGTTGTGGATGAGTGGACCAAGAAGGCGGGAAACAGTGTGAAAAGCACCAATTTACTTGCACAAAGTGAATCAAGTGATGACAATGAAACAAACTCGATGCGGATAATATTGCCCGTTTTTATCGAAAACGAACAAAAGTATGCGCAACATGATCGAATGCGGAAAATTCAAAGCAGTCCAGCAAAGTCAACGCATCGGTTTTATCAGGATCCATGTTCTGTGGAACGTCAACTGCACGTAAGTTGAATGACTATCGATTGTAATTATATGTAGACAATCATTATGGGGCAAAAACACGTGAAAAATAAAAACAGCAACAAAGTAACACAAGTAACGAATCATATTTCTGATCAGTGTCACTCAATATGTGTGTTGTACGTTTTGGAATGAATGCACGACGGCGTTCGGTATTTTTTTTTTGTTTTGTTTAGTACATTGACTAATCGAAAATCAATCGTCCCATATTACTTTGGCCAGATTACTTTTATACATCGACAGAAGTGAATTGAAATGAATAACAACAACAACGTCGACAACAAGAATGACAACGACAGCAGCGGCAGCAATAACAACAAAACAAAACACAAACGCAAAGTGTTGGCGTTTACTATGTTTTTCAGTCAAAACAAGGCCAATCGTGTCACATTCTAATCATACCCATTTTCATCGGGTGATATTATATGAATCATAGAAAATCATCGTGTTTTTGTGTGAAGTGGGCGCATTATATCCACATCGCGCGCGCTTCCGAAATGTTTTGGATGAGCCGCGTTTATGCAACGTACTTACATTTACAATATCCTTTGCGGTTGCACATTTTTCAGTTCTCAAGGGTACTATGCAACGTATGCGCTTTTTTCGCACGCGCTCATACACACTCTCTCTCTCTCCCTCTCCACGGCCGTTTACGCTATGCAATACGGCAATTTCAAATATTATTCAATAGTCTTAAGTCACATACGGGCACAAAATTGACGATTTGCCGTTAGCTAAAAGGATCACTAATATGACGAAATTGAGATCGATTGATTTATTTTAATTGTTGCTTTTGTTCGGCTTATTTTCAAGGGTTATTTTATACTGAACCATATGATTATCCATTCAACTTAAGATACGAATAAAACATATCGGTACGACGAATGTGTTGGCGAGAAAAATCGACGAATGTGTGGTTGTGTAAGTCAATTTGAAATTAGTTTAAATTGACTTGTTGCATATATATATATATACGTATCGTCGGGGATAAGGACAACCGGAATTCCAACCATAATTGAGCCTCTAAAATGTGGAAATAATCACACGTTTATTTTATTCTAAATACGTTTGACACACGAAACAAATGCGTGTACCATTGGAAAATGATGGCGCACATGGGGCCACATTTAATGGCACTTTGACAAGCAGCAAAACCACAATTTTCAATGTGACAACATAAGTGGCATTATGTGTTTATGAATGAGGTGAAAATGTGTTTCAATCGAATGTTGTTATGTGGATAGATCTGGGTATGCATAATAACATAAGATGCCATTTCGTGGCATCTAATTATTTTCGTTACATCGTTTCAACACAAATATTCATACACGATCACACGCACGATCATAAAATGTTTAAATTTTCAAGCGATCTATTGAACTACCTACTTACTGTCCCATTTATCATTCACAAAAGCCAATCAAGGACGCACGAACTCTCTCTCTCTTTCTCGCTCACTTACTCAAACAATGTACGCTTTTGTGAATTGAATGCGGCTCATTCATTTAGACCGTCTTTGTAATTCCGGTTTTAAAATGTTACTAAGGTGTTTATAAATCTTAATCTTCAACCCCCGAATGATGCATATTTAATGTGTGATATTTTTCGGATTTTTCTTCCTATTCATTATTTTCTCGGTTGGCATTTAATTTTGATTTCAGAATAGCATGATTTTCTGTTTTAATATATCCTCTATCTATCTATCTATATGAGCCACCATATGAATTGTGCGTGGGTTGCTTGAATTTGTGCATACCCCTTAAAGAAGTACATTCAAACCAAACCATCAATACTCGTAAGACGCTCTTTTTGGAAATGAGTGATAACGCATGGTTCTTTTGGAATTGCTGACCGACTAGAAAAAAAAACGAACAAACGGACGAACGAACAACAACAACAGCAATATGTAACACTGTGTTAGTGTGCGCGTTTCTATTTTGATGTATATACGTCAGCCCGTAAATGGTAAACGATGAACGTATCTATTTTACTTGTCCAATGTATTTAAAAACAAATCAACACATCGACCGCCTTTTTCATTATTTCTCAAATTAAGTCAACCACGTTGAATTACCACAGTATCCATTCAATACCGCACAACAGTCAGCCGTGATCACAACTTTCGAACGCTTCACTATTGACTGACTCCACACTCATATCACATATTTGTTGCTCAATAATTTTTGATAGTAGATTTTAAGATTTTGAATTGTTATTTTTATTTTCATTTTATTTTTTTCGTGATAACTTATCATCGGTTTCGGTTGGTTAAAACCCTCCCTCCTTCAATGAGAACGCTGGTGATAAGTGTACCAATTCTGATACAAATCAGACAAACAATGTGATGAATTTTGTGGTTTCGGTAGTGATTTAAACGAGAAACGAAATTTAAAGAAGTCATCTTGAAGACAAGAAAAATTATTTCAAATGAACGTCCCTAAAAAGTTAAACGAATAATGTTAATTGAGGAACGGTCAGTGGTTAATGGTTTTGAATTTGGAATTAATGTGGATGGAAATTATAGTAATTGATGGCAAACGGATAGCATTATTATATGTTAGTTAATTTCATGTTTTCAAAACAACATAAATGAGTGGTCGAGAATAAAAATGACTAAAGTTGAACCACTTATGGATAACCGTAACACAATATTCTTGATTTTTAAAAGTGCAACATAAATTCTGTTCGCTTGTAAGTGAATCGTAAAATATCTGTGGACTATAGAAATCGTGTTTCACTTTAATTGAAGCAAAAATGTTCGATACACTTTCAAGTCCATTGGAATGATGATTCATTGTAATGGTGGTTTTGGTTGTGATTTGGCTTCAGAGTGAAAATTAAGTGATAAGGAGCGCGAATTTCGATGTGCCGATAACACCATTGGATTGGGCACATGAAATACTGTATGAGAATCGAAAAAAAATTTTTAACTTTTTTTTTCGATTTTTGCCTGTTTCCGATCGTCTACATGGGAAGTTTGCATGAAAACCTCGGAGCGCCGGTGTTTTACCCGTATTGTTATACACATCAAAAAAGCGGTCTGCTTCACCGTAGAAAAGAAGTGCGCAGTAAGGAAACAAGAACGTACATGTTTTGGCAACAGAATTTATGTTGCACTTTTAAAAATCAAGAATATTGTGTTACGGTTATCCATAAGTGGTTCAACTTTAGTCATTTTTATTCTCGACCACTCAAATGATCGTTTAAATAATTTATCTCTGTTAATGTTTTCACATATGCAACGTGTGTATGTGTGTTGTGTCTATTACTTCGTTGATTTGTTTGTAATCGAAAAGTTGATTAAGTAATGTGATCTCTATATTTTGATTTTGAATAGGCTCAATTGAATAATCAGAATATTAGGCATAAATTCGATAACATAAGATCAATAAGTGCACATAACAAGAGTTTGGTTCAGGTTCGATCAACAACTATGGATACGTCAGTGAATATGGATCAAGTGAAAAGCAACAGTGATGTCAAAGCAGATATGACGTCGGACGATGTCACGCACTCCAATGATATTGTGAATAGTCCGAACTTTCTTCGCATCCCATTGAAACCCATTGAACAACGGCCAGCCGATGAGCTTATCAATGAAAAAAGGTTAGTCAAAAATTAGAGCAATAGTTTATTTTAATTTGAATGTGTGTAATGTATTGATTGGCTGCAGTTGCGTCGTCATTCAACGTAAAGAAGGGAAACGATATTCGGGTTGACGTAAACTGACAAGTGCTTGTCGATGGAATGAATTGGTAATTGCACATACACACATACACTCATGTCTATTTAGAGCGAGCATCAAATAGTCAAACTTTAAAATCGGCCACCAGAGACCAACCCCCTCCCCATTAGGTTCGAACAATCAAATAAATCAACACGTCACTTCAATTGGATACAACAGTCACTATTCATTAGAAAAGCAATTTCGGTGCTGATGAACGCCTAATGAAATGAGTGGAAAACATGTAGGCTCATTAAGTTTGTTAGAATTTCGAATGGTGTAAGTGTTTTACACACATTTTTTTTTGTTCTATCTCTCCCTCTCACTCCCATCTCTTCTTTCTGCTTTTCCTCTACCTTTTAACTCATCGAAATGTCACAAGATATTAATGTGTAATTTTAGACACATTTGTGTCATTGCCTACAATTCGACTTTTTTTCTATCGCCATTCACTTCATATTTCAACTGATATTGGTCGTACGTGCATACACAAATCACTTTGAGTCGAGGGTGTTGTTGTATGTGCCGAATATTGCCCTATAAAAACTGACAATAACAACAACATCGAAAAAAATGGTATGTTACAACAGAAACTATGTTATACAAATAAACTGGCCACATGTTAGCATTTGTGTTGGAGTGAATTGAGTGCGACAAAAAGCTAAAAAGCTGAGAGAGAGAGAGAGAGAGAGAGAGAGAGCGTGCGGGTAGAGAAAGAATGTGAGAGGGAGTGAAAAAAATGCCCCGTAATTGCTATCGCGTTATTGGCATGTATTTTCCAGCGTTTATTCACCAGATCAATAATATCAAGATCTATTTTGAAACGCATGGCGTTCAAAAACAATCATCTACATGTCGAATGGATGTAACGTTTTATGCGCCTTCGATGAACTAGGTTCGTGAATTATTTATAGTTTTACGAACAAATGTTGTTACTGTTGCTATTTAGTTCCCATTTTTTCCCGCTCGCCACTCCATCAGTCTTGGGTTATGGTCTATCGAAGCTTTCGAACCGAAAAAAAAACAAACGAAAAATAATTGCTGAGACACACACGGTTGGGACAATGAAAAACTTCCTTAAATCAAAACACCATTGACGTATGAAATAACGAAAACAAACATATCTTCATTTATTTAATAGAGAATTGAATGAAAATTTCCCACGCAACGATTGCATTTTGAATATATGTATAGGAAAATTTCCATTCGTCCACCTGGCAAATTAATTGTGCATTTCTATCTTAACACTGAACCATTTCCAAATGAATAAAACAACAATCACAATAAAGCTCAGAGCCTGACTGAAGCATTGAGCAATAAAAATGATAATTTATTGACACTTCTGGCTATCACGTGCATTTTGAAATGAAACTTGACTTGACACCCATAAAGTAATACGATTTTTGTACTGCAAATGCGTTAAAACAACGCAACGCATACTCGTCAGCAGCTAATATCAGCAGCTGACGTTAGTTAGTGCTGCTGACGTCAGCTCATAACACGCTCTGATAAAAACGAAAATCATGCGAAAGAAAGAAAAACCGAATGCGAAACATGCATAATGATGACTGACAGTTTCGATTCTTGACCATTGATGTGATAAATGCCATCCTTTTTTCTGGACCGTAAATTTAAGTTTAAGTTTAAATTTAAGTTCAATGTATTTCTTTAATTATTCGAACAAATTCACATTTATTCATTTTTTTATTCTATGATCCACAATATGGACTCTTCTATAATAATCGCATATCTTTCATTCAAATGACTGTCAGCCGACCAAAAGTTCTGTGTGAATTTTACTTAGCTGGAAATGAGTCTTGTGTAGCACGTGGATCCGACCTGGTCCAATGTGTTCTGCGAGTAAAGTCCTTCAGTATTCATTTCCTACGAAAATGCTAAATTGTGTTATTTTTGCCGAATTTCGCTCGGATCAGTCTCAAATTTGACTTGGAAAATCCGAGGAAGGGAATTCCCTTCAAATCAATATAAGTTTTGTTCTGCAGATGCGTTACAACAATGCAACTCATATAATTTATCTGATAAATTATTTGCTTAATTCATTTATGCTGATAGATTGATGGCATAGTAAAGCCTGAGAATTTTTATATGTTTCTCAAATATAATTTATAGATCAGAAACGAAAGACGCCCTGAAATGCTGTCCCAGCTACCTGTGTGCACTAAATATTCTATTTGCCAATGAATGTACAAATTGTACGATTGAAGTTTCTGAAACTAACCAAAATAAGAGCATTTTTAAACGAAAATAAAAAGTCTTCGACTTTTCCACACGAAACGCACCATTTTCAGCTATTTTTGAACCCAAACCTATTAACGTCAGACGAAAAAAACAAGCAATGAATGTCAAATACCTTTATGTATACAATTGATATGTTGAATTGACTTGAATCAGTATTTGTGATGACGCGAACCTCACAAGTTTTTGTTTCTTTTTTCTTCTTATTTGAATTTTAACACCCACTAACGCCACCAATTTTTTTTTTCTTGAAACCAAAAAAAAAATTTCCCATAACCCTAGTGATGTTTTTGGGCCAACGGTTAAAACGGAAAATATACCTGGCACACCGATGGAATCAGTGGATGCGCTAGTCGGAGATTCCATTGACAGTGAAAATGATGTTACACCGAATTCGAGTATAGTCAACGAAATGCCAGTAATAAATCGAAATCAACACTCGATTTCGAATCATTCATCAGCTCAAACTACATTTATAAATCACGAGCGAAAGCCCTCCATTGCGAATATAGCCAAGGAACTTTCCAATAACGAGAACCTATTTAGTCGATCTAGTTTTTCCTCCAACGAAGACGGTTCCAATAAACGACCGCAGAAGCAAGAGGTTAGTGCACGATTTCCTTTTTCCTTTGGCGGCATCGAACGTGAAGTGCACTGCACGCCTTGAGCGGAGTTTTTATAAATATTGATTGTTGAGAGAGTGCAATAATTTTTCCATGATTTGGCTGAAACATTTCGTCGATTTAATGCATTTGTTGCATTTGATTTCAGGACCAAGATCCTGAAAGTTTGATGTTTCGCGATGGAAGGCGTAAAATTGATATGATTCTATGTTACGAGGAGGAAAGCGAAGGCGTTATGACTGAGTTGGAGGCAAAACGACGCGAAGCACGAAATGCGTTTTTAGATAATCTCGTCAAGGATGGGCTTGAACTGGAAATCGAGGACAAATCCGAATCATTCGATGAGAAAACTTGCTTTGTGAAGATCCATTTGCCGAGGCGATCGGAAATTAGATATGCCGAAGTGTTAAACTTAAAATTACCGGTGAAACGCTTTATAACCATCAGTGTCAAGGCATGGGTAAAATTGTAACATGTTAACAATGGTGATTCTCTTGGAGTAAATACAGTTGATTTCTTTCAACGTCTCTTTTGTTCGTTTTTCTTTTCTCTTTCTTCTTCTTTTCGTCTTTGAATTTTGTTTCCGAAACAGGACGATGAGAAAAAGTCGGTGTTAGATACGAGTTTTTGGCGATCGTTCGTAAACTACTTTCGAAAAATAAACGCGTATCATGAGCTAATCGCTGATGGTGAAGCAACTTTTTCAAATGCCAATGCGAATGGAAATCCGAATGAACAGTACGTAACCGTAAACTTATTGGAATAGATTGAATGTCGACTCCAATGGCGAAGAAAAACACATTTATTTCTCTTTTTTTGTTCAATAGATTTATCGTAAAAGACCGATGCACAAGCTATTGCAGTTCCCAACGCAGTCTGATGGTGATGCAAGTACTACTACGTACCAAATACGATGATTCAGAGAAGGTGAGTTTGCTTTTAAAATGGATATAATTTAATTTACACCAATTTTCAAATGACGCGCGTGTTTTTTTCCCTTCTTGTTCGCTTTCGGTTTTGTTTTTCACTTAGGTTGGGATTCGACGGCTGCTCGCTGATGGCACATTTCTAGCATGCTTCCCACTGCACGAAGGTCGATACGATAGGCCACATTCGTCTGGTTCTGTCTACGACAGAAGAGTGAGTAAAAAATGTCTCTATAGAAAGACTTTAAATTAAGACGGTGGTAGCAAGTGCATTAAATTGACTTTTATCTTTATTCTCCCTCCCTCTCTCTCTCTCTCTCTCTCTCTCTCTCTCTCTATCTCTGTATGTCTGTCTATTTCTCTCAACCACTTGCAACGCTGTCTAGCTGTTGTATTTGACATGGGCCCGGCCAAATTGTTGGTACAAAAAGCAACCGTTGTGCTTGGTTCGACGATATTTTGGTGATAAAATTGCGCTCTATTTCTGTTGGCTCGGTTTCTATACGAACATGCTGATCTATCCGGCAATCGTTGGTGCAATTTGTTTTCTCTACGGCATCATTACGATTGAGTCAAACGACAATATACCGAGCAAAGAGATTTGTAATATTACCGGACCGGGGAGCATCACGTTGTGCCCGTTATGTGATAAAGCATGCGAATATCAAAAACTGCACGATTCATGCTTATTTTCTAGAATTACTTACCTGTTTGACAATCCTTCAACCGTATTTTTTGCAATATTCATGTCGTTTTGGGGTATGGCTTTGCATTGCGATTGAAATTTTTGTTTTTGTTTTTGGTTTTCTTTCCTTTGTGGATCGATAGTTTTCGAACCAAATGTTTGATTATACGATTTTTGATGGATTGTTTTTTTTTAGCGACGACTTTTCTTGAAATGTGGAAACGCAAGCAGGCCCTCATCGTTTGGGAATGGGACCTGCAAAACATTGAAGAAGACGAAGAAAATCGACCCGAATTCGAAGCCACCGCAAAGACTTTTCGCACGAATCCAGTGACAAAAGAACGTGAACCATACATTCCAACGTGGACCAAGATCTACCGTTACTTTGTGACTGCTAGCGTTGTCACTCTAATGGTCTGAATATTCATCAAATGCAAATAAATTTGGTTCAAGAAGCCGCTTACTCTCGCTCGCTAATTGATTGATAACATACCATTTCGTTTTCCTTTCTATTCCCATCGGACAGATTTTAGTGGTGTTGGCAGCTGTACTGGGAACAATCATCTATCGTATTTCGGTTGTATCGGCTGTTTATAGCGGTTCGGGTGGTTTTTTGCGAAAACATGCCAAAATATTTACAACAATCACTGCTGCAACTATCAACTTGATAATCATCATGATATTGACACGGGTGAGTTACAAACCATTTCTCTGTGTAATTCATAATTTAAAAAACGGCTGCCGTAAAGCATATCATCGCAAATCAAATATTCATCCAACTTGTTTAATGTTGTTTCTTTTCATTGCCATAGATTTACCATAAAGTGGCTGTTCGATTGACAAATATGGAAAATCCTCGTACACATACCGAATATGAGGACTCGTTTACGTTCAAAATTTTCTTTTTTGAGTTTATGAATTACTACAGTTCGTTGATTTACATCGCATTTTTCAAGGGACGATTCTATGAGCATCCGGGCGATCGTGTGGTGCGTCGAAGTGAATTTTATCGTTTAAAAGGTGATATTTGTGATCCGGCCGGATGTCTCAGTGAGCTGTGTATTCAATTGGCCATCATCATGGTGGGAAAGCAAATTTGGGGCAATTGCATGGAATACGTGTTCCCGTGAGTATTTTGGCCAGTTTTTGTGCGAGTGAGAGTGTTGATGTGAAACATTTACTTTTACATGAGCACAAATTATTTGGAAATTTTCATTTTTAAAAAAATTGCGTATATATGTATGTTGTATGTGTAGGAAAATGTATAATTGGTGGCGTCAACGCAAGCACAAAAAGCAGACAAAAGACGAGCAGCATTTACACATGGCGTGGGAAGAAGACTATCACATGCAAGACCCTGGTCGATTGTCACTGTTCGACGAGTATTTAGAAATGAGTACGTTGAAATTTAAAACTTTCAAATTGAGTTGCGCTTAATTGAAAACTTTAGTAGCGGTATAAAACCGAAATGATGAAACTGTCTTCTTGATAGTATTGCAATATGGATTTGTAACATTGTTTGTGGCTGCATTCCCATTGGCTCCATTCTTTGCGTTGCTCAACAACATCGCGGAGATTCGCATTGATGCATTCAAAATGGTGGCACAAGCTCGGCGACCGTTGGCTGAACGTGCTGAGGACATTGGTGCATGGTTTGGTGTTTTACGAATGCTTACCTACGCTGCCGTTGTTTCAAATGCCTTTGTAATCGCTTATACCAGCGACTATATACCTAGGATGGTTTACAAATATGTCTACTCAGCGGATTCATCGTTATGGGGATATATTGACCATTCTTTGTCAGGTAATGCGCGCAAAATGCCCACATTATTATCGTTTAAAATATTTACGGAGGAGCTTTCCAACCATCATTCTAAACACTTTCTTGACATATTGTCTCTTTTCAAATTTATTTAACGAACAGAATTCAACACATCCCACTATAGACCAGAGTGGAGGCCAATCGCCACCGAAGATCATGATATATGCCAGTATCGTGGCTATCGGTAAGAGTTTCAATTTTCAGAAATGTTTTCTTTTTTTGTCATTCAATGAAACACATTTGGAAATCAGTGATTGTGCAATTGCAATTATTTTTTGTCCACTTTAAATAGGAACCCACCAAATATCACCTTACCGATCGAAGAGAACTACGGATACAGTCCGCATTACTGGCATGTTTTTGCTGCTCGTCTTGCATTTGTTGTTGTGTTTGAAGTATGTGTTTTGCACTTTTACCGCTGGTTAGAAGACACTTGAAATTGATTTTACCTGTCTTTTGTCTCTCTCCTTTCTCTCTGTTCTTTTTTTTTCATTTCTTTTCGTGCCACAATGACTAGCATATTGTGTTCATAATAACCGGGCTGATGCAGTTCGTAATACCAGACATTCCGGTTGAGGTGAAAACGCAAATGTCACGTGAAGCGTTGCTGGCAAAAGAGGCCAAATATCAGACTGGATTGAAAAAATCGCAGGAACAAATCGACTACAACGATGTGTTACAATCAATGCAAAACTTTCAAAATCACACATCAACCCGTCAAGGGCTATTGCGTGGAAGCTGGGCGAGACGGTTGAGTCGAGTGAGTGACGGTTTGGATGCTCATGTTGAAATTGCTGCAAAGCCAAGACCAAAACGAAAGCTAAACTCCGTTTTATGGGAGGTTACATAGTAGACGGATTGAACAGCATAGATGAAAAGCAGCGAGAACACAGAGGAGAAGAAAACAACAACAATAACATCGTTCTAATTACATATCGTATTTATTTTATTGTGTCAAATATAAACAGAAGGACGAACAAATTGTATTAGACCAGGAAAAACAGAAACAAAACTTTTTCTGAATCGGAATGATGTGAAACATTTCGATATTATGCTATTTATATTTCTTATTTACTTGTTTTATCAATTTCTATATCGTTGTTAGACTGTTTACAAATCAAATCAAATCAAACCAAACCAAACCAAAAAAAAATGTTTATTCGAATCACAAAATGTTATCAAAATGAAACACACTAGGTTTTAATTCTGTTATTGGACAAATTCAGACAGAGAACAATAAAATTCACTATTGAAATAATTGAAAAGTTCGTTCGCATTTAAAATATTCAAATGGAACGAATAAAAAAGAAGGAGAAGAAGAGAATTAGCTTGAACCGCCCATGTGCGACATGCACATCCCAATCGAAGTAACGCTCTCTCTCTCTCCCTATTTAAAACCCTTAAAGCAAACGTAACATCAAAGAGATGTGCACGAAATTTCGGAGAAACTGATATTCATTCCATATGCAGCCCGATTATAATTAGAGAGCTACGCAATGGCTCGAATTTCGTCTACGGTAAGAGTAATCTCTATGTGCTTTTTTTTCTTCTCAGGTATGTGAAGCTCATTCATATATTACATGTGTGACGATAAACAGTGTTTTGATATCGAGAACAGAGATAAATAGTTTCACATTTACATACATCTCAATGTCAAAGTGAATTGAAATGGTTTTCGCCGCTGTTTCTTCGCTCGTTCTCTTCTTCATTCCATTTTGTGATAATTGTTTCAAGTCCTTCTTATTTGTAACTGACACCCAATCACTATTCAAACGAATGGAAAACACCGCATGAAATACAATATGCATTTGATTCGCTTCGGGCAAATTTCGTATTTCGTGACAAATTCACAGTTTTAGGGTTTTTCTGTGTGTGTGTGTGTGATAGATGTGGGCGTATGTGTATGTGTTGTCGCTAAATGCTAAAAAGTAAACCGGATTCTAATCATGATTTTGACCAAACGCCTCAAAAAGAGTATACATGTTCAACGGTGAATTTTCAACATAAATCAATCTCTTAATTTAAGGTTACAATTTGTGTTTTTTTCTCTCTTTGTTCATTATAAAGGTACAATTCGCAACATGTGTATAATCCTCTTCTTCTATTTATCTATTAACAAATCTGTGACTGCGAATTAACTTGAAGATACAAAGCGGTGAAATCGTGTGTGTGACTCGTTAATGCATACCAATTTAACTACACTTATTTGTTAGAGTTTTGTTTTTAAAGCTATGCAGATTTTAGAATACATACATCAAAATATTGATATGTTGAAAAGATTTTTTTTCGCATTTTTATTCCGTTCGTTTGAGAGTCAGACACCAGATATTTAGATATATTAAAATTCCAAAAAATTAAAAACTTTTTTTTTCTACGTAAATGAAGTCCTTTCATCTATTTCAAAATGATCCAATTTCCAGAAAAGTTTTGAAATTAAAGTTTCATGCTTTGAAAATACGACGACTATCGAACTATTGTTGTGTATGTATTGCGTGTGTTCATTCAATAACAATAACAATAACAAACTCATTCAATAAATAGAATCATCTTGTATATGTGATGTTTGTGTAGTATTTATTGATCAGATCGAATGTAATGATAAATGTGAGATGTGATATGATGAAGATAGTAGCTGGAATATGTTTGGTTGTTGTTGTTGTTGTTGTTAACAGAGATGTCAACAAAATATCAAATGATATATCGTATATATGTTTATGTGATTTGTTCCAATAGTAATTTCCGTGTTATGAGAATGTTTCGAATTTCGCAAAATGCCGGTGTCTTGCTTGTTAGCTTCAGTTCACTAAGTGCTGCAGCTGTTTACAACAGCACTCGCAATGACACGCAATTCTCCTTTTGATAGTCTAGTGGTTTTATTCTTATCTCTCTCATCTGGTTCTTTTTTTTGTGCTCGAAGGAAGAAAAATCATCATCATCATCATCATCATCATCATCACAAATGAATTTCGTTGGAGGAAAAAAAAAATCGTGAAAGACATAGAGTTCTATTCATTTGTTGGAAAGCGCATGTTTGAAGTTTGGAATAAAAAGAGCTTCATTCCCATTAAATCATACTACAACATATTATTAAGCAAATCATACCTTAATTTGGCTTAACAAAACAAACTCAATTCAAGCAGCCCTTGAACAATGTGAATGGAGAGCGAACAAAGTGACACTCGTTTAGTTAGTGCAGTTGTTCGGGCTCGACGTTGCTTGCTACTTGAGACAGGAAGAAATGGAAAGTAGAACGAAACTGGAGAAAATTATTACACATTCAAAAACCTGCAAAATAGCAATGGGACGCTTTTTTTCCGTTTGTGCTTTTAACCAGGAAAAAACATTGTTTAAATTAATTTTTCGCCGCTAATTTTTTTTGATAATTTCTTTTAAATTAAACATGGAAGCGAAACGTATTTTCTACCCAATTTAGCTATTGGTCGTGTTCTTTTCTGGTTTAACAAAGCAAATCATGTAAAAATTGTAAAATTTTGCCAAAAAAAAAAATCCGCCTGAATTATCTCTTCATGCACACATTCACAATTAAAAAGCGACTCTATATTACGCGTCGCGCGCTATTCCTACGTAATTTCATATGGTTTTGTTTCGTTTGCATCTTGTGCATCATTTTCGCTATCAACTAATGGTAGTGCTTTCAACGCTAATTCCATTTACTATATTGTTATTTAGAGCCATTGTTTTCACTAAGTAAATACATTTTTTGTTTCTGCTTTAAATTTATTTAAAATACTCAAAGTAGTCATTGTCAATGAATTCTGCTATCACCATCTAAATTCTACACTTTGAAACTAGAATTCTTAACGAATTAGTATTGTATTAAACACAATTGTATGTTACGTGAAATATACACTTAAATATTGAAACGAAATATTTTTTCCCCTTTTTTTAAATTTGAAAATCGTATGTTTTGTCAAAAAAATGTGTGTGTGTGTTTTTTGCACGTTTTGCTTACTGTTGTTTCGATTTTTCCTTTGCCTGATAACATTGCCACAAGCACAGCTGAGAAATTGTATAAATATACTTGCGATCTAATTATGATTTTTTTTTTGTTCGCTGGTCACTGGCATATTGAAATAAACACTCTAATATCACGCACCAAATCGACATTGAGTTATATTAGGAAGGTATGTATAGCAACACGAGTATGCTCAGTTCGCCTTTAACGATAACCAACTCAACCGTTCCGGGGTATTTCATCTGAAGCTTTCTTTCTTCTCTCTCCCTATCCAATTTAACTCACACCACTCCGTGCCATAAAAACGCGTTCAAATCTAACAATTAGACGCTTGCAATGGAAAAAAAGAAGAAAATACTTGAATTCAAGACTATTTTGCTTGCGCCGAGTGTGTGTATGTTTTCGTTTTGTTTTCTTTCTATTTGCTCCTCTTCTTTTTTTTCTCTTTCGTCTCTCCCTCTTCTTATTCTTGGGTATCTTATTGTTTGTGGCTCGGTTCGGCGGCCTGTGTGACTTGCGCTCCAATTCGCAATAAAACGCTACCAGTAGCTCCTATGCAATGTTGGAAATTTAATTCAGAGTAATACTAGAATCACAATCTCAAAAGCAAAAAAATAATATAAGACATAATCGCTTAACGTAATTACAAATACGATTTTTTATTTGGTTTTGTCTGCCGTTGATGTGCTGCAAGTTTGCGTTAGTCGTTGGTCAAACAATGTGCTCGTTTTTGGGTTGCGGATTTTGGTTTGAACAAGACAAATCGATCGATTCATTGCTCAATTTTTGTTGTACTTGTGTGTGTGGTTGCTGTTGCTGTTGCTGTTGTTGATTTGTTGTTGGACCCGTTATCGATGTATGATACTGTAGTTTTGATGTATCTTTGATTTGAACAGTGGTTTCGGTTGTTTGCGGTGTTGTTATCACTGGTTGTGCACCACCAATCAATGGAACTGGTACGTTTGCCGTTATACTGCTTTGAGATTGAATGTTTCGAGATTTTAATAGCGGTGGATTCTTAATCGATGCCGAAAATGCAAATCCACGACGTAAAATTGCTCTGATTATGGAAAATGGATAGGGAAAAAAGACAGAGAGACGAAAAAAATCAAAAGTACAAATGCGATTAGTATGCAACAAAGTGAGCGAGATAGAAAGGCAGAAACCGATATGGTAAGAACGAAAATGCCAACACAAAATGAAATCAATGTTGCAAAACAATGCCACAAATGGAAAATCTCTTGGGACGAACGAAAATAATGAAAAACGAGAAAAAAAAAATCCGTGCGCACAAAAGCACACATAGACACATCGAAATTGGATCATTGTGTGATTGGATGAATGAGTGCATGAGTGAATGGAGCCAAAGCGATTGAAAGACATGATGTAATATGTGTGTGTGTGTGTGTGTGGTGATGTGGCTTGAAACACAAAATATAGCTACGTAATAAAAATGGGATACAAATGGTTACCGTGTTGGCGACGGAGGCGGATAGGAGATTCCGCGCTGACTGGGCGATAATAAATTCGAATGGCCGGACGATGTTCCGGGTACGAGCAGCGTGTTGTTGATCGTTTGTGACGCATTCAAATTCAAATTGGGCAAACTTTGGCCCAAGTGAACGAATGGCTGAATGAGCAACGTATTCGGGGTTGTGCCTCTGTACTTTGTGCTTGGTGTATACTGTAACAGTTTCTTGTTCGTTGTCGTTGTCGGTCCGCTTGATCCTTGAACGGCTGCGGCCGAACACATTTGCATACTTTCATCACTTGATAATGAGCTAGCTTTTTCATAATCCATTGAAATATTGCGCGAATCGTTCAACTCCACAGAGCCACTGTGTCACGAGACACAGAAAGAGTGAGGTGTAAGCGGGTTTCATGCGATATTTGATATTTGATATTGGAACGGAGAAAATAGTGAGATATTAAAATAAAATTATGTACTTGAGCCCTGCGATGAACGAATATGATTCGAGGTTTAAACTGGCTGGTTTATACCATAAATACCCATCCAGACAAATATGCTTTTTAACGATGCCCCCGGCATGATGTGTCATCACCATGACATATTGTGCCTATGTGATGTTGTATTCAGACATCATTGTTTTTCTTCAATAAAAACGAAGCAACAGCAACAGCTAATACCCATGGTTAAGCGAGTGTTAACGCAGCGTGTCGAATGCACCATTTGTTGTCAAAGGGCAACATTTAACCGTATGATTACTGTTTGACAATATTCATGATATCCTAATGTAAACTCATTAAACGGCTTTAACAAAGCGCAACAATATTCAACGCTTGCCAGAACAAAGTGCGAAGCATAAATATTGTAATTGTGGATTTATAATTTCAGCATTTAAACCTCGAACCAAATCGCTTATCTCATTGTACTGACACACCGTAAATGTGTGTGACTCTCTCTCACACACACATTCACGAGTCGTTGTTTGGAGAAGAAAAAATAATCTACCAAACGCGCTACACCATACCTGTGGCTATTATTCAGACTGCTCAGTCGGCTTCCCATTGAGCTGTTCAATGGTGATTTTCGGATGCCTAGGGTTTCCGTGCTGTGATATCTAATATTGTAACTATCAAATGGTGAGCTTTGTTTCAGTCTTGAATAAATGTGTTTTGCTTTTGTAAAGGCGTCAAACCAATTCTGCGTTCGTACATCCAAAGTCACGCATCAAAGCATATTCAGCGTTGTTTTTGTTGTTGTAGTTGATTGCAATGGAAAATGCGAATGAATTAAAGCTTTTGTATAAAAACCCGTTTATTTTTTGTTCGTATTCCGATTTGAAATTAGAATAAAAACTGAATTTCACTTTACCCGTGCTTCGGAACATTGAAGCGTAAAAGCGGATGTGGCCAGCTCCCAATCGTTCAAATAAATTAGGTATAGAGTGTTTTCTTTCATTGCTATTTTCAATCTGTCCGTCAGAAATGGCTGGCGTATCACCTTTTTTTTGGTTTTTCGGGAAAAGGGGAAAGAAGAACGGAAAAAATGGCAGAAAATTTCGTTAGATCTGTGAAAATGTCGGTGGAACGGATGGAAAACTCTGAAACTTCAATATGTTAATTTGCACGTGTGGGTGTTTGTGTGTCAGTTGTGAGCACCATATCATCTCTTTAAATTCACCTATTGTCAGTAAATAAGCAGTAGCATCCTTAACTTGATGCTTGGAAAACTATGCGATGTCAAAAACTAGAATATGGAGCATTTATTTGCAAAATGAGAGTCACATCATAAACATTAAAAATGCATGGACACGAAGCGATGCCTCGAAAGTATTCATGCTTGCATAGTTTATAGGCCGACTACTCATATTTTGCTCCAGTTTTTCCGATACTACTTTGTGCTCTGCCATCTCTCTCAAATTCATAATGATGGATTTCCTCCCCTGTCATATTGCACTAGTTTATATGCTTCGGGCGTCTTGACGATACGTTGGGTGTTCAATGTCTACATTGCGCTCTTTTTTCTTTTTGCCCTGTATCTTCTGTACGGTATACTATTTCGTTTTATTGACGGCTTTTTCACCCAATCTCCATGTTATTTATTGGCCACAATTGACGATTTATTGGTTTTGTTCAGATGAGTTTTCACTTACAAATCAAATGCAAATTGGATTGTTTGCTCATATTCATCAAAACCCAACTTTGAATATCAATAAAATTCATGTATAAAAAGAAGTATGAATGAGACGAGAGCAAAACCTAACAACACGTATTTACCTTTAAATTGCCCATTCCTTTCTTCGCGATGGGCTTGCAGATTAACAGTAAATCCGTCAGCAGGAAACAATGGACATCAACCTAGAAATCAACATTAAATCAGTTATTTCAAAATTCGATTGATTTTTCTTCTTCCTATATTTTTATTTGCCACACTGAATCGACCCATTGCAAATATGTATACCAGGGAAAATACACCAGAACTTGACAAAAACAGCGCGTCGACTGTGTACCATTTACTTGCACACAAACACACCATCAATGGTGAATTTTAAATGAAACAGTATTGATTTTATTTGTAATCTGTCAACAGCTTTTAGCGAACATGATTCGTAATGTATTCGTGTTCACTTATTCCTGTTGGCATTTTCGATGCTCGACAAGTGCTAATTTATACAATGTTAATGTTGCTGCCGTTAACGGAATATGATCGATTTTACGTGTTTGACAATTATTCAAGAATTTACATCTTTCGAAGTGTACAAGTCAAGGGGATGGAACAAAAAATCAAAACGAAGTCCAAAGCAAAAGAACGAATTTAATTGAAACAAAAGCACCCAACGTAAGTGTAATGAAACAAGTCGTATATACAAGTTTGCGAACTTTGAGTCATATTCAACAATCTATTAATCACTGGCATACAATCAATATATATTAACGGGTCAATCAATGCGGATAGAGAAGCCAATATAATAAGTACTAAAGAAGAAATAGAAACAAAAAATCGATTCAACAAACCTTGGTCGTACTGTCTTTGTACCGTAAATCACCTTCCATAAATAGATGTCGTTCTTGGGGCGTTGCACAACCTTTCATCGGGCCACATAAGTCAAACATGCTGCAGTGTTGTTTCAATAACTTTTCCAAGTTCTCATTGTTGGTGTCCTGCAACACATACATGCACATTATTATTTTTCTTCGCTTCGAATTTAGATGAATTGCAATATGTGTTAAAAGGTGAAGTGAATACACACTAATTAACGTATTATTATGCTCAGTAATTGGATAATTAAATAAGAATTAGTTAATTAGCGGATCGAATGGTTAGATCTTGGCAATTGTGCTGTGACATAAAAGCAGAAAATGCATAAAATGCGTCATTAAAATGGATCACAATGTGTGCAAACATGGACGTGTGAGCACGCACGTGTATGTGTTGTATGTTTGTATATAAAATTCGACGTTGAAACAACTCCGTGAACAAGTCTGTTCATCCCATGTGTGTGTGTGTGTGTTGTGTTGTGTGTGTGAAGACAATTAAGCAGAAAACTGTACACATTCTCTTCAAAGTGTTCCGCATTTATTATTTAAGTGCCATCCTTATGATCTCATATTTTGTTCATATCATCGTGTGTAACTCAAACAATAGAATCCCTATTCTTTTGCTCTATTGAAGAGAATGGCTGTACATTATTGTCCGGAATGAAATGGCATAATGCGACCAACCATGGTTGATAGTCGGTAGCTACAACAAAAATAAAATGTTTTACCATGTAAAACGAACTTTTCCGCAGATTTTAGATGGTCACCATGATGGACGGATATAGTGTCCATGTCCACGCCCATTTTAAAACCTTTCATATGACCCCCATGTCAACTATTCATATAAAAAAATGCTGTTAAGTGGTGTTAACATAACCATGATGGACCGGGATGGTGTTCATGTTCATCTCCGTTCAAAGACCTTTCATATGATACCCATATTGACTATACTATGTAAAAATGGTATGAAGTCCATCGTGGTCGACCATCGTGTTATAACACCATTTAACATCACTTACCATGGGAAAATCGTGTAAAAACAGTAATAAAAATTATAGAATTTTTTTTTTCGATCGAAAAATCCAAGGGGGGTACCCTTGGGTGAAATTCCATGATATACCAAAAGTACCAGATAGACTGGTCCAATTCGGTCCAACTTTTGATACATTCAAGATATTTACATAAGATACCACGTTGCAAAATTTAAACAAAATCGCTCAAGAGATTCGAAAGTTATCGTGTATACAAGGAATTTTTGTGGGTTTTTCGAAACAGTAAAAAGGACATCAAAATCGTCCATTGTGGTTAGAACACCATTTAACACGGCTAACATATAAAAAACAGCCAGCAATAGCCAGAAAATGCATTTTGAAGCGAAAAAAGTAATTAAAAACAGACCATCATGGTCGGCCACCGTGGTAAAACATCGTTTAACACGGTTTACCACGAAAAAATCTCGAGGAAGACTAAGAAATAACCAAAAAATGCATTTTTTTGTGGTGAAAAAAAAAATCCGAAAAAATCCAAGGGGGGACCCTTGGATGAAAATCTATGATGTAGCAAAAGTACCAGATGGACTGGCTCAATTTGGTCCAACTTCTGATACATCCAAGATATTTACGTAAGCTACATCCTGGCCAAATTGAAGCAAAATCGCTCTACTATTTTGTAAGTTATCGTGTATACAACGAAAATTTAAAATTTTCACGACGATCGCTATACTTTCCTTCACACTTCGTGTGCGGAAAAGTAAAAACACACACACAGATAGAATTTTGGCATTTGAATATATTTTAACGTTTTAGATTAAACCAATATTTCATATACTGAATTTAGATGCATGGTGGTTGATCACGGTCGACTAATGCTAAAAAGTGTTAACATCATAACAGTCGGGGATCAACGGTTGTTGTTTTTTCCGGGGTTTTGCACTTGTATTTGGTCTGAGAAAAAAAAAATCAAGATGAGGGCATACGCAGTTAGCATTTCCAGAAACAATGGCGAATGCGCCACACAACATGAATTATGTTGAATCCATTTAGAATGGACTTTTTTTCGTTTCTCTTCTGTTTCGGTTAGTTCAAACAAGTTATATTAACTGATTGCGGTTCATTTTAGCGGGAGGGCAAACCAAAAGTACAGAAAGCATTATTCAATGTTAGATTACAAAACCGAATTGTTACAAATTTATAATATCAAAGAGACGATTTATTACGGTATGTATGTTGGAATTCGTGTTGTATTGGCATGCCGATTATGGCAGCTGTGCATTGCCGTCTTGACGGTTCGTGAAAATTATAATAATTACTTGGATAAATTGTATGTGAGCCAAGTATAAGCACGCTCGCACACCCGAACACACACATAGGGAAAGAGTGAGCGAATGAAAAAAAAATAAAATAAAAAAAAACATTGAAGCTTAATAACAACAATCACGAGAAAGCAAAATGGTTTTCCATATTAATTACTTACCACAACATCATATGATTCGATACGCGCCATTATACCCTTTAGCCGCTCGTTTTCTTGACGCATTGTCAAGTGTGTATTCACGCCGAACACAAAACTTTCCACACAGTGAATCTATGATCATTTATATTCATTACATAATATATGGTTATATATAGTATATGGATATGTTTATGTGTGTGTATAGAGAAAAAGCGCCAGGAGACAACAGACACAACGGGGCAAGAAGAAAGGGAGCAAGTGACGAGTGTGTACTGATATGTTACTGAAGTGCTTGGTGGAACAGGGATGAAATGAAACAAGCTTGATGCCTGCTATATATAGCATGCATGTCAAAATGAATATATATGTATAGGGATTTTTTCGGTGGTCGTAACTTAATGTAATGAATGAATGTTCGGAGAGAAGTATGCCGCTGTTTAATGTGCTGTATTATATTGAATATGAGTGATTATCGAATTACACTTTGGCGACGGGGCAATGAATGAGACTGAACGAATTCAAGACTCAAAGACTATTAGGGGAAGGGGGCTAGGTCGTCGTCGTCATTGTAGTTGTAATGCGCTCATCCAAATATACGCACACACAAGAAAAAAATAATGACATGCATTATTTCGAAGAATACATACCATCAAGTCCAAGGATTCCGCATCATTTTCGTCAACCACATGCTTTCTTATTGCTCCCAATAACAATCCGTATTTAGTCAGTCTTTGTGTAGGCCTTACTAGAATATCTGCCAATCGCAAGCTATAAGAAATGCGCACACACACATACGGAGACACACCGTATGTTGGGATTATTTCGAGTATAAAGCAGTACAACTTGTACCGTACGAGCGGAAACTTATGTGGTGCAAACGATTGTGTGTCGAGGCGATAGTGGGGTAAAGATAGAGTGAACATGTGGTGAAGCGAGCAAATGATGCTAAGGCGGAAATGTTGAATTGAAAAGAGCGTCAATTTGCTACGTAACTTACAATAAGCTTCTTTTACCTCGTGTAAGTGCTTGAGTAAATCACACACATAATGTTTTGCTTCAGTGCGGATGTTATAATCAACAATTAAATGCACACATATACACACATACAGATATTGAAAGAGAACGAGAGGGAGACAAACAAGAAAAACGGACACTCACGCAACCAAACACTCTATTGTTTTACAATTTTAATGCATTTTATGTATTGTTATGCAATTTAAATGCTCGCTTCATCGCTATATTTCACTCTAGTGATAGATATAAATAAACCAGAAAGGAAAAAGAAAGAACTTATGATAATCTCCGCTCCTCGACCACTATCGTTCAGAAATCGTTCAAAAAAAACCTACCGATTGCAGAGTTTTTGCGCTTCACACCACGCTAAATATGATGTGAATAATGTATTGCTTGCATTTAACTCTTTACAAGTGTACTGACATTGACTCTGCTCTGCACAATAGATCTTATACGGCGAAAAGATCGTTGAAAAGTTTTCAAAACCCGGCCGAAAGTAGTCGATGCACATTTTTGCTCCAGTTTGTATGCTATTTTGTACCTGTTTCCATTTGAGATTAAAAATTATTTGTACGGAAGTTGTTTAAAAGATGCATGTGTTATCTTTTGCATAAGCTTTAATCTAGGTTTATTTCATTGAACAACGCCCAAACTTACCATTGGATACAAATACAAGGTCCAGAACTTGATGTTCACTTCACAAATCTCTCGTATATTTGAAAATAGTTTGCTTTGATCAATGTCCGTTAAAATTCGGTTGGATTGGATTGCCTCCAAACAGGATAAAAAAAGCTACTCAAACAGAGTGTGTGGGCCGAGAGGAGAGGCAGAGAATGAAAAAACAGAAAGAAAGAAATAAATAAATGAAAAAGTGCAAACATATAAATGGCCATCATGTTGAATTATTAAGTGGTTTTGTGTGCGAAAATCCAATTGTCTGCTGTATGTGATTTTTGGTCTGATTGTGCGTTTGATTTTCGCTTTATATATTTTTTCTGCAGGTGCCATGACTTGGTGCCGTGCTCTCTCTCTCTCTCTCTCTGCTTTTTGTTTTGGTTGGTTTGCGAAATCGTTTCTATTGCATTTTCCACATTTACAAATAAATGTGGCTTTTGCGTTATCGTCTATATTTACCTCAGTAACCGTTTGCAACGCATGTATGTAATCTACTTCGGTGGTAACTAATTCCCAAATGGCAGACTGAATTTTGATTTCATGCTCTTTCATATTGGATACGTTAACAAATTCCTTCCACGAACCATGTATGTTGTTGATGTATTGCAGCGATGGTACAAAATCCGAATGTTCAAACGAAGAAAACGCTTTCGATTGAGGTACACCATTCTTTGCATAACTGTTCAATATTTCGCACAATTGACCTTGGTGTGGATTCTTTTGACCAAACAATGTTGACCAGCGTGGCTTTGATGGTTTTACGGTGGTCAATGTGGACTTTGTTGTGTCGAAATTATGTGATGATTCGGTCGCCTCTTCAGCTGATGCCGACGAATACAGTCGAATGGGACGTGGTGCGTCAGATTGCTGCTGCAACAATGAAACCAACAAACAGAAGAGAAAAAAAACCAGCTTTACATCGAATTGAATGAAATGCGTGCTATGGGAACAATTTCGCCTTTTTTGCGTGTGTGTGTGTGTGTGTGTGTGTGTGTGTGTGTGTATGCATGCGAAATGCGTTTTTGGTAATGTGCACAACAACAGAGATCCGCCCTCTCTCTCTGTCCCTCCCTCTTGAAGGAGAGAAAGAAAAAACGAAACACACACAAAAAAGGGAAGAATTAAAAACCAGTCTCACAAATTTACTTACAAATGATGAAACTTTCCGCAGTGTTGGGTGATACACCTTAGCCTCGTCTTGCTCTGTATCGGCGAGGAGAAAACAAGATTAAATCTTTACCAGTTTTACTAATTGAGTTGGAAAAGAGTTGAATACATAATTCGTCATTATTTTCGCTGTGAACACGATGAAGAGATAATGAAGCTAAATTCAAAAAAGGACTAAACAACTACCTCCTACTCTTTTCTTCATATAAGCAGATTCTTTGCACAAACAATTTTCTTTTGATGCAATACCGAACCGAACCGAACCGAAATCGCATTCCACTCTTATGAAAATTATGCAAACAATATTGAATTATAAACTTTACTGTACCTGTTATAATTAGGTGCTTGCCAGCCAATGTTCCTGTGTCTGTTCTATCGTTCACATGACTGAGTTGAGTTAACGGTGTTCCTGATGATAAAAAAATAAACGTACTCATTTTCATGCTTTCTTTCTTATGTTTTTTTTTTCTTTTTCACACATATATACATTTCTAGCTTCTCGATGTTCTCAATCTGAACAAAAGCCCACTTAAGAATATTATTATTTTGCTGAAAAGCCATTTCACGACACGCTTTCCCAAATGGGCTAGGCTAGCCAGTCGTTTCGAAACATTGGAATGTGGGAGGCGGTGCAATGGTATGCAAAGTATTCCTTAGACAATAAATCGAAAATCGATCTGACGTGTGCCCAAATAATTATTACGTAAATAACAAATTCCACGTGCACTTACTGAGATCGCTCGTTCCGGGCAGTTCGTAGATTGCCAATTGAGAAATGCTTAAATTTCGCCGAAGCAACGGTTCGTTCAGTACATGTCTTATTAGGAGCGTTGAAAGGCCGAAGAAAACAGCAGAAAAAGAAAATAGCAAAAAGGAAAAGGAAGAGAAGAGCAAAAAATGAAGAAAAAGAAATTAAGAAAAGAGCAAAATAAAACAAATGGTTAGTGGATTGTGTTGAAAACGCGTTGGAAACTTGTTAAAATTAGAGCATGGATAGCACAATACCCAAGTGTGGCTCCTTTCACAGCCGGCAATAGTTCCTCCTTTTCGTTTACCGCATTCAAATCAAAGTAAATACGGAAAAAGTTCGAATGGTTCACCTGCGAAATAGATTAATCATTACATGGATAAGAAACGTTTCCAATAAATTTCCATAAACTAAAACCGAATTAATATATTACATTGGCATCTCTTATTCGCTCTGTTCTCATCCACACATACACAATTTTGTGGTGCTCGCCCGTCCCTCTAACTTTCATTGATTGGTTAAGCCAATGATATAATTACACGCAAGTGATTAAAGTCTTGCTAATCGAAAGATAACGACCTATTCGTAGCAATTTTCACTCGTTTTCACTTTGATTTAGAGATAGCGCATAGGTTTCAGCAATGGCACACCATTTATACAGCCAATTACGTCATTTAATTGCGTTCAACTAATACCATTTGGATTCTCATAAAAAATTAATTCCAACTCAACACCATCCCCATACAATTGAATATTTATATGCTGTTTGATTGGTTCTATTCGGGCGCTATGGAGCAAATCGCTGAACCATTCCAAATAAGTTAGTTTTTAACGCAAATAAATTGAAAGGACGTGTTAGTTTTGCCCAAACTTCAAGCGTCATTTCAAAGGCATATTCAATTGAAAATGTGATTCTCATCAAATAGACTGTAATGCATGGATGCTTGGATCATCGTTATGGTGATTGTTTCAGATGATAGATTTAACAAAGTTTTTCATGTATGCTGTTGCTGTTGCTGTTGTTTGTTGTTGTTTATATTGTGAATCTCACACCTGCTCTAAATATATAGGACAAACAGACAATGCTCATCACCCACCAAACAGCACATACAAGCAATCAACGAATGCACGCACAACGGTTTCCGTTCGGTATTTCATATAGAATAGAGTTATTTCCGCGCTAATCGCATTACGCCCTTCGACATTTTAATATTCTTCCGTTTTTTCCTCGGTGTGTACGCTGTACGCATTGATATCTACTTCTTTGTTCATCTCATGCTATCTTTATCCCTGTGTTTCTCCCTCTCCCTCTCTCATTCGATTGCCACTTTTTTGCTTATAAGCTTGCCTTTTCCACTCTTTTGATTCACACACACACACACATATACATCTCGCAGTCAACAGAAAACTGGTGAAGCTAATGTAGCATATAAAATGAGAGAAGAAGGAAGAAAAAATAAGAAAAACTGATGAGGTGTGCTTTCATTGCGTTCAGTTTCGTTGGACACTCTGCAAAATGTTTGGATGGTTAACGAAAATTAATTGTAAATGCTACGAATGACAAAGCAATGCCACCATCTAATGGACTTAGAGCGATGAGTAAATGTTTGCTAAATGAGATGCGTCCGGTCTGACGCCGACTGACCGACGAAAAAGACAAGACATTTTCGACGCCGCACATTGTGCGGCACAACGATAACCGATAAAATGTTTAAATTACGTTTAATTATCACAAAAAATATTCAATAACATTTCGTCAAATCATTGTACCGTGGTTGTCTTTGTTTATGGACATATTGTTACGCATGAATAAAACCACAATTCCATAGTTATGTATTTAAAAAACGATTTGGCTACCGCCATGATGCTAGCACTTTTTTATTTCTCTTTTTTTCAGAGTTTGACTTATACGCCAGATATATGCTATGGCATAAAAACAAT